TGTAAACACTCACTCTTTGCCCTTGAACAGAGGTTTCCCCCCGATCAGTTCCGCTAATATACATCCGACAGACCATATATCAATGGCCGTGGTCTCAGAAACAAAGCACGAGTGAATCCAGGCAGCGCATTCGATTTATAAACCGACTCACGTAATTCGCGAAGCTGAGCATGATCTCCGGCGCCCGATACCACCTCGTAGCCACATACTCCGTCATGAATCCCTGTGGCCCGCCGGCCTTCGATGCACCGACTCCCGGCGAGTAGCCCCTGGCGAGCCCAAAATCACAGATCTTGAGCTCGCAATCGGAATTCACGAGCAGATTCCCCGGCTTCAGATCCCGGTGCAGGACATTCGCGGAGTGGATGAACTTGAGCCCGCAGAGGGTCTGATAGACGAACGACTGGAAGTGTGCATCGGTGAGCGACTGGCCGGACCTGATCTGCAACGCGTAGAAGGAGATGATCAGGGATCGTTCTGATCTGTTACGGAGCAGGAAGCGTAGTTACAATGGCATGCAGATCAGCTTCCATGAGTTCTTCCTGGGCGCAGAATCATATATCAGTAAGATTCAGATGAGATTGACCCGCGTCCCGCGACTTACGTAGAGGTACACCTCGTCAAAGTCGCCGTCGGGCCCGGGCACGATGTCCATGTCGTAGATGCATGTAATCTACTGCACAGTCAGCCGTGTGTGACTCCCCGGTCGCGGGGACGAACGTTTTTGTGCCCGCGAAAATGATATAAGAGTCTGCCAGGGATCCGAAGTGAGATCAATCTCGGGGAACGCCAATGCTGGTCTCAAGCGACGGACCGAATCTCCCTCAAACACCGCTTGGTCAGAATCCGCTGTAGACACGTCCATAAGGCATTTCAGGAGTGTGAAGACCATGCCTGACCTTGCTGTTGATTTTTGTGATCTTCTTGATCGCACACCCAGCGCCCGAGGAGCGATGTCTGGCCGCAATGACACAGCCGTAGGCGCCCTGCCCGAGCTCCTTGATAAAGTCGTACTCGGGATCGACAACGAACGTTGTCTTGAGTGCGCTAAAAGTCTTATGGGCGACTGGCATGGTGAGACCAGCGGGAGAACGAGGCGGTCCAGGGATATGACAGAGCGCAGAGACAAGACGAATACACGTTGGACGTGCTGACAGAGCTGGCAGTTGATCAGTGCGTCGCGGAGGGCTTAAGTAGAAGTGGAGAATCGAAAGACAGGCGGGAACCAAAACGATAATCAGATCATCAATTCGCTACTTACGGGATCGGCTCTAGAAAGTGTCCAACTGGTGCATAGCCCGGGTCCCTGCATCTTCTGTCAGTCGCCGCTCCCAGATTGCCCGGACGTCGGTGCTTCTCACGTGCGGGATATCGAGTTACGGGCATTGCCGTTCTCATGCTTTGGCTCTGAAAGGACGGCAAGGACTTCGTAGAAGTTTCCGAGTCACGGTCAATCTTCCACACAGTCGTCTGGGAGCGCATGGGCATTCTGGGAACCGGCGGAAAGCTGGCAGCTAGGGTGATCATCATGTGTACCCACCGAGGTTGTGGCGAGCAAGAAAAAGTTGGGATCCCGAAACGCGTTTCAAGCCTGCCTCGTTCAAGATCTTTGGTTGATGGAAAATCTACACTGCCACTCTCGGAGGAATTATTCACATGACGCAATCCATGATTCATGGTTTTGAAGAATCTAATCTTATCAGCATCTACATGTGACCTCGGATACGCTCGGGCTTGTATATACTTTCATGGGGATTAGGACTATTTCGCCGTTGAATTTGCTCAGATGGTCAGGCACGATGACCCGCGAAACTTCCACAATTTATGTGTGAACGTTTGACATCCACTGTCCTTCGTTGTTTCTGCCAAGCAACTGACTCAATCTGCCATCCGGGAAATGCTGCTGACAAGGCCAGGGTGTGACACTCAGTTCGTCTATGTCCTGGACTAGAAGGGTTGACCTGAGGTGGGGAAGGCCTTCCCTGACCGAATCCATGGAGGCAGTCGCACACCCTCGTCAATTCTCTGAAGAATCCACCCAGACTTGGCAACGGCCATCAATGCTGTCGTTTGATCATCGGTAACCAAAGTAAAACTCTCACTGACGGCTTGCTGACGGCTGCCGCCCTCTCTTCCCTCCGCCATCCTCCACTTCGATTCGAGTCGCGCCGGACGCGCCGCAGGCTGCCTTATATCTTTCTTTTTGGATACCCTTGTCCTTGTCCTTCTCGTCCCTCCTTCGGTGTCTCCACTTTCAATACTCTATTTCGACCTCTCTCCGAATCGATTTCGCGAGGCAGATGCGCTCCTTCACTCTGACGACCCTGACGCTGGCACTCTTCGCCCTGGGCGATGCGCGGCCGCTGCGGCGTGCTATCGATGCGAGCGTGCGGTGCGCAGCGACCGATCAGACGGGGTCCGCGCTCACCGCGTCCTCGACCACGACAGACTCGTCGGGGAATGAGTTCTCCGTGTGCACGTACAAGAGCGCGGGGCCGTGTACCTTTTTCTTCGCGGTACGTCTGGTCATGTCCTCTCTGAGGAGAGCGTAGCCGAAGGCTGATCGTTGTCTTCGTTTCGACTACAGGATGGATCCTTCTCGTCTGGGTCTAGTGACTGTCCGAAGGGCCAGGCGCAGACGGCTGGGGCCGGAACTGGAGGGGGAGGAGGAGCAACATCTGCAGGATCGTCGTCTTCGTCGTCAAAGCCTCAGGGCACACTCGAGTGAGTCCTGCATTGGTTGTGAGGATCTATCGACAGTCATCTCATCATATCCATCCCAGTCCGAATGTCAAGTGCCCGGCGAAGGACAAGCAGGGCTCCTCGGTGACTTCGTCTTCGCAGGGAAGCGAGAATGGCAACGCGCTGGTGACATGCACGTACGCGGTTGCGGGCCCGTGCACCTTCTTCACGGATGGATCCTTCTCTTCTGGTGGCAGTGATTGCCCAGCCGGACAGTCACAAGGCAGTTCGCAGCAGACGTGAGTCTGCTTCAGTGATCCGGATGCACGCAACTGAATTGATGGACAACAGGACGACAACCTCTGCACCTCCTCCTCCTCCGAAGACAACAGCCGCTCCGCCGCCGCCTCCGAAGACGACAGTTGCGCCTCCTCCCCCGCCACCGCAGACGACTACTTCTACACCACCGCCTCCTCCCCCGCCGGCGACTACCAGCACACCGCCACCCCCGCCGCCAACAACCACGAGCACACCCCCGCCGCCTCCGCCGTCAACTTCGACATCGACCACCACATCGACGACGACACCTCCGGTCACGACCCCCAGCGACACGCCGACTGTGGCACCCGTTGTCACCAGCACATCTGCTGCCGCCGCCGCGCCGCCGGTCGACCCGAGCCCCGTCGACTCGACAACGTCGTTCACGACCGTCTTCGTCACCCCGACCGACACCTCGACCAACACCGCGGGTGCGCCGGTTACGACGGACGTCGCGAATGCCGGTGCGCCGGCCGGTGGACTCGGCCAGACTGGCGCTGCTGCGCCTGGACTGCGGGCAGGTGCTTCATCGCTCGTGCTGGCCGCTGGCGTTGGACTCGCAGTCCTTTTGCTTTGAAGAAAGTTGGACACACCACATGGACTATGGACTTGGGTTTACTTTGTTTCATTATTTGTAGTTAACTTTTTATTGTGTCTGTTCGCTGTTGATTAGCACTGGTATTGCATGGGTGAGACCGAACTTGCCATCTGACAACTACGAGACCTCACCACGTCGATATAGCTCCTGGAGGCGGAGAAAGCCAGATCGCAGTGACCTGGTCCATCCGTGCGCGGGCCCATACGATTTGTTCTCTTCCTCTTCTGAAAAGGGCTCCAGCTCGGGCGAGTACTATCAAAGCCTCTGAAGCTCTCTTTCAAGGTGAACACTGAAAACGGTCGAAGATAGTTACTGAGCGGCGGCGGTACATATTAAGCGGTAATCTTATCTTCCATCCCCGCTCCAAGTCTTGGCTGATCGGAAGTTTTTAGGACCTCAGAGGCAAGTGTTACGGGATGCGCAGGCAGTTTTATTGAAGGAGATCGTGAGGTAGTACATGGATACATTGTTTGTTGACAGGCGCTCTCAGCTCTGCATTTCTTCGTCATCCCGCCCATTCAGACCTATCAGTTTGCTTTTGACTTTGCGCTTCGCCCGCTTAACCGTCGAAAGCTGTCCAATTTGCTCATCAGACGAGTAGTCGTCCTCCTCTGCATCGACAGCGACATCATTATACGCAGGCCCCTCCGCCCTCCCTTCCGCTCTGTCCTCGTCCAGCTTCGCTTGGCTCTCCTCATTGAGCAGCACACCCCCATGCTGGGCTTCGCCTCCCGCGAGCGGGTGCGTGCGCGGCTCGAGGTTGATCTGCGGTGGCACCCCTAGCGGCGCGCCCTCGTATGAGTCGAGCGGAACAAAAGAGTCACGATCGGTCTCCATCGGCGTGCCGGGGGGCGACTGCCACGTACGCGGCGGCGAGCCCGCGATCGAGTCGGGCGCGTGGTCCGACCCGGCTTCGGCGCGCGTGCTGAGCTCCGTGGAGCACGATACGACGCTTGAAGTTTCGTCACGGTCGTCGATGGAGTCGTGTCTGCTGCTGCTGCGCGAGGACCGGTTCGCGTTGGTCAGTGCGGCTTTACCTGTGTTGTGCGGTGAGCATATATTCACATCCGTGTACACACCAGGTGAGGTTAGGGTGCGGGAGAAAGGACTACGCACGAAGGCCTAAGAATGACAGGGGTTGTGTGATGTAGTCCGTCAGGCCAGAAGTAGATCCCTCCTCTCCAGAGGTCATCGGGCCGTCCTGAGCCAAAGACTTCGAGGCTGATATGCGCGGAGTCGGTTCGTCGGTGGTGGTCATGGGGAAGATGTCTTGGGGTAGGGACTAATTGTGACAGGATCGTGCTAGCGAGTGTTGATCGATGACGTAATTGTGCATAGCCACCTACTCGAACTTCACCGACAACGCCAATCCCGCTGAGTATAACACGATGTACGAACGGTTCTGCGTGCGAGATTCTGATGATATTCATTTTACACATCTGAAAATAGCTTATCGGGCGCCCGAGTAGCTGAAGCACTCGGGCACCACGCTGTTTTAAGCAAGCATCACAGTGAGTGATGATCTACTGATACCTGAGATAAGCCTAACTGAGAGCAGATCTCTCCACAGAGCCACCATTTGACCTACGGAAGCGATTTCTCACAAAACACCGGTCTTTGCCTGAGAGCGTGCCGTTGCCTCAGTACCATTCTGAGATAAGTGCGCTCAAAGACGACACGGTTATGTTGGGTCTGATGTTTTCGGTTTTTGATCCCGTTTCAAGCTAGGGCGGGCTTTACAGACACAAGATGATTCGAGCCTCTGTTCTGACAGATCTGAACAAACTACGCTGTGGTTTCCTACAACTCGCTCCATTTCCGAAGATTTGTGTGAATGTGTATCGAGTTCTAAAACGCACTCGGAACGACCAATGAAGTTTCCTCAAGGAGTTCGTAACGCTCAAAACGGGATATAAATATTGACAGTCATGAAAAATAATATTTAAATGTCAACTATTATCCACCCAGAGGACGGCCAATCAACCCATTTGAGGCTGATGATCTGCCACCAGAAGCCCAAGGGTAGTTGGTAGTCGTGCGTCTCAGACCTATTCCTGGTCGAGGATTTTGAGCGTCTGAGGCACAGGCTGCATACACGCTGTCAGCAATGTGGCTGCCGATCGAAATGAGTGATGAAGAAAATGTCGAATGAGTGTCCGGCAGACGAAAGCAGCACGTTTCGCCGACCGCACCTTGATATGTCAATGGATCTCGAGTTGCGGCGAGATGGGCGTTTCAGTCTCGTTTCCTGCCATTTCTTGCTATTGAATATTGAAAATGTAGCCTTGAACGAGGAAGCGACCAAGGTGCCCACCTCGGTTTGTGCGGAACGGCGCTGTGAGTGCTATCCAACAAATTAAATATCGTCACGAAAGAATCCCAGTTGACACACCCTTCAGTAAGATTCTGACCGAAGCAGTTTCCCATATTGTGGTGGTTGTCAGAAGTGCGGGGAAGAGCTTTCAGGACTTTTAATAGGATTCCGAAAACGTTGCCCTTTATACCGGCTCGCGTGAACAGCGTGGTTGGTGCTGTGCAGATCCCAGAGCGAAAGAGAACAGTTCTGGACGGGAACACGTTGTGAAAAGTGTGGTGCATGCACGGCCTTACCAGACTTACCAGATAGGCTTGGTTGAAGTTTCTCAGCTTGGTAGCTCATCGAGTTTTCGACGTTTTCGGCCGTCCGCCGGTGAATCATCGGATCATCGGACCATCGGAACATTGATTTGATCGTCTGTGACGAAGTACTGCCGATCTTGTGACGGAACAGACGCATTGTAAATGATGCAACGTCAGTTCCTCGTTTCGACGCCGAAGCCGTGAACGAACCGAACGACTGCGAGGCGCGAGAATTCGAGAATCAGGGACAACATGGAAAATCCGAGCTGTCGGCAGAGACCGCCTGTGCAGCACGCGAGGCTCTCAGAGCAATCCTGCGCTAACAAGCGCGGGAGTCGCGAGCATGACCACAGAGTCGGTGGAGACCAGAGGGCACCTTCGTCGCCCTGATACTTCGCGCCTGAGCTGGGCCGGTTCGACGCGTATTCGAGGCTCCCTTTCCATCCGACCCGTCGCTCGCACCTTTTCTGATGGGCTGGATTGGCAGCAAAGCAAGACGAGCGCATATTTTCGAGCTTATGTTTCACGAGCTCATAATCAGATTTGAACGGGGTTGACGAACAATCAGGAGACGTCCACAAGCACTCGTGAGAGAACATAGGGTCGGCGACTTGGAGTAGAGTAGGATATGGCCATTCTACTGGCGTTTTTCTCGATGAATCCTGCTTGTAGAGCCGCAGAGCACCGACTCGAAGCTACGAGAATACATCGGCAAGGGACTGCGTTATTGCGGATATCGAATTTTCATGTCAAATTTACAGCTATCCAACTTGCGACGTCCGGGCGAATGATCAGCGGTAGTTCGGATGGCAACACCGAGCAGCGACGCACTCAGCCGCATCCAGACTTTGCTAATCTGTGCAGCACTGAGTCTGGACCAGCAGTCCGGTCGATGCCCGAGCGACTGACCGCCCATGCCCGACGGATAGGTCCCAAGCGCCTGGCCAAGTATGCTTGTAGAGGCCGAGCCGGTGATGTCGCGACACGGGTGAGCGATGACAAACTTGGATCTTCCCCCAAGTCCTTCTCAAAGCATGGACGCGCTCGGCGTGAGGACTGGAAGGCGTTCTCTGGAACGTGTTGTCGGGATCGCGGACTCGCTGAGGCCGGGATGCCGGGCTGCGGGGTCACCCTTTACTATTTGTCTCCGCGAGTTTCGCACGATTCTAAATTCGTTCCGTTATTCCAGTCGCGTTGAATGACGGAAGCGAAGCGATTTTGGCGTTAGCGTGGACCGCTGCGGCAGTGACCTCATCATGATCCCAACACCGAGTCGTTCTCATGACAATCCGCAAGAGTCGCAGACGTTGACTCCTGGGAGAGGACTGCCAGAGCTCCGCTGGGTGCGTCACTCACCGACGATACAGGGGAATCAGCTATTTGCAATTTCAAGCTTAAGAACGATTCATGTTATGGAAATGAAGCCTCAGGAAACAGACAATCGACAGTGCGAATCCGGGCCATATCCGTTCGTAATCGATCTGATGGGTCCCGGAGGGCGGCATCTTCCTTACGTTGTCTTACGACGCTCAATTAGCACAATCCCCAACGAACAACTCGGACTCTGTGTCCGCCAGTCAATGGCGGCATGGTCCGCAGCATCGACCGAGGGTAGTTTCATTGTTGCCGGGCTGGAGGAGATCGCGATTTGGATATAAAATGAGGCATCTGCGCTATCGACAACATATCTCTCTCCTCTCATCCTGCTCGAGATGCCTGCAATCACCACTTTCCTTCGTCTTTCTGCTCTCGTCGGTGCAGCACTCGCGCTACCGAGCGACGTGAAGCGCACGACGTGCACGGTCAACAGCGTGGCGAGCTCGACCAACCTGAGCGGGTGCTCGGACGTCGTCATCCAGGGCTTCACGGTGCCTGCGGGTAACACGATCACGATCGCTGTACGCGTCGCTTTGGTCCCTGATCTCGACTCGAATCCTCTCGGCTGACGCACGATTGTACCAGGCTGCACAGGGCGCGACGGTGACCTTGGCCGGCGATGTCGTCTTCGCGAAGACGACGAGTGCGCGGTTTTCTTTGTCGTTGGGTGCAGTGCGGTCGTGCTGACTTGATCGCAGCCGCTGGTCCTCTCTTGACCTTCAACACCCCCGCGATCAACTTCAACGGAGGAAACCACACGATCGACGGCAACGGTGCGTCGTACTGGGATGGCCAAGGAACAAACGGCGGGACCTTCAAGCCGCACCCCTTCATCAAGTATGTGTGCAATCGATCTTTTTTTCTGTAGAGACGCGGAGGTCTCAATTCGCGCGCGCTAGGTTCAAGGGCTACGGCACATTCGAGCAGTTCACCGTTCTCAACTCGCCGGCCCAAGCGATTTCTGTCGGGACCACTGGCGGCCAAACCAACATCTCCCAAGTCATCGTCGACAACTGTGAGTGACTTTGGGGAAACTCTATGCCTCGGTGCTGACTTGCTGCTCAGCTCTGGGTGATTCCAAGGGCGGCCACAACACCGACGGATTCGACGTGAGCGCCAACGACGTCACGATCTCGTCCTCGACGGTCAAGAACCAGGACGACTGCCTCGCGCTCAACGCGGGGAGCAACATCGTCTTCGAGGACAACACCTGCGCCAACGGCCACGGCATCTCGATCGGCTCGATCGCTACGGGCAAGAGCGTGACGAACTTCCAGGCGCTGCGCAACACGGTGACGAACAGCTTGTACGGGATCCGCATCAAGGTCCAGGCCTCCGCGACCAATGCCAACGTTTCCAACGTCCTCTACGACGGGTGCGTGTCGCGCGTCGCGTTCGGCACAACCAGCGCGTATGCTTATTTCCCCACAGCAACACTTTGACTGGGATCACATCGTACGGAGTCTTGATCACGCAGAGCTACCCCGCCAACAACGGCACGCCGGGTACCGGTGGACCGATCTCCGACGTCCGCTTCACCGGCTCGCCGACGACGGTGTCTGGAACCAGCAACGCATACGGGCTGGTCGTCGACTGCGGTGCCTGCACCGGCACCTGGGACTTTTCCGGCCTCCAGATCCTCTCTGCGGGCAAGGGCCACACCCTCGCTCTCGACCGAGCAACGGTACGTTCAGCCTTCTGCATTGCGTGGTCTCGATTACGAACCAGTTTTCTGACGCGAGTACAGCTCTCGGGTGGCAGCTACTAAGTGCCCTGTTCTCGTCTGCGGCCAGTTCGAACGCACAGCACATGGCTGACCGCTCCTTACATTCATTACATCCTCGCCTTATAATGTTTTAAATATCTCTACATAGTCGGCCTCTCGGTTTCTATCAGAATCTAATCATTGCTGTAACCCACGTCGAGCGAGCGCGGCTATCCTGGGAGTGCCAGAAGTGTGATGTTGACATGACGCGCAATTCGAACTGGAATTGATCTCGACCTTCCAAGGTGAGTTGCACACAAACCAGGATAAGATTAGCCCCGGGGGTCGTTCCTATCTTCTAGCCATTGAGGGCGACAGTCCATCACATCACACTCCAGTCAGTGAGTGTGCTGTGTCTAACAGGGGCCCATCAGAAAAGGGGAGGCTGTGCAGATGTCTGTCATTCGAAAGTAAGTATATATCTACCCGTTTCTGGTCATGCCACATCCACGAGCCACAGATGGCCAAGCCTCACGGAGAACGCGGAGAAGGAGCCCAGAGGCTGCAGAGCCACGATTTCGCGAGCGATAGCGCAGGAGGATCTGCCAGGTGAGTGCAGCGGTGGCGAGTCACCTCGTCTGCTGTTTGCCCTGACCACTGCGTCCGTGGCATGTTTGACAGTCGAGTATCTGGAGAATTGGCACGGCTCGAACCAGGCTCCCCTGGTGAGCCCACTGCTTCCCCGCGCAAACACGAAGAACGTCGAATGACTGACCCACCGAAATCACTCGACAGTCCCATCTGATTCTGAAAAGCCTGCGTTGCGCACCCTGACTTTCTGGCGCACTGGCTTTACAGTGGGAGACGCTGGGTCACTGATGCGCTACGATGAGCCGGCCAATGCGAGCTTGCTGGCCGCCATCAACGCAGGGTCCGTTCTCTGTTCTGCCGCGGCAGCGTGCGGCTCCTGATGTGGATCGTTCGAGCGTTTTCAGAAAAGCTCCACCGGCGCTGTTCGATGTGCGACCCGGTCAGCCACTGGAAGTGCGCGTGTCAGACAGAACCACGGAAGAATACGAGGGTTCAGGGCAGGTCACGGAGCACAACAGTGGTCTCCGGCATCGTAAGCCAGGGGCAGAGATGGACGGTCGTGAGTGAATCCACTGTCGAACGTGCTGCCGAAGGGGTCAAATCATGGATTTCGAGTGGTTTTGCATCTGATCGCCCCAAAAGATTGACAAATGCAAAGATGAATTAAGACTGAGGATGGCATTCTGGGAATCAAGACAGACAAATTATATGGATACAGCTGATGAATGCGCGACTCCGAAAGATCCAACCAAAGGGAAATTAGGCTCGTTGTTCTCAACCTCCTGACAAGGAAGGAAACGAAGCGATTAGTACTTGCCGCCGGAGATCTGAATAAGGGCGTCAGATGATTGCTTGCGGGGGCTGCATCAGAGCAGGAGAACGCACCGTGGCCTTATCCATGGTGATCGAGTGGCCCTTGCCGGCGGAGGTGATGTCGAGGCCGGAAAAGTCCCACGTGCCAGTGCAAGCACCGCAGTCAACGACCAGTCCATATGCGTTGCTGGTACCAGCGACCGTGGTCGGAGAACCAGAGAAGCTGATGCCAGAGATGGGTCCGCCAGTTCCAGGCTTGCCGTTGTTGGCGGGGTAGCTCTGAGTGATCAGCACACCGTAAGAGCTGATGCCAGAGAGCTTGTTGCTGTTGGGCGTTCGGTCAGCTACAAGACCAACGGCTGTGGC